TAATTGTATGGGTAACTATATTGTATGGGTAACTATATTGTATGGGTAACTATATTGTATGGGTAACTATATTGTATGGGTAACTATATTGTATGGGTAACTACATTGTATGGGTAACTATATTGTATGGGTAACTATATTGTATGGGTAACTATATTGTATGGGTAACTATATTGTATGGGTAACTATATTGTATGGGTAACTATATTGTATGGGTAACTACATTGTATGGGTAACTATATTGTATGGGTAACTATATTGTATGGGTAACTATATTGTATGGGTAACTATATTGTATGGGTAACTACATTGTATGGGTAACTATATTGTATGGGTAACTATATTGTATGGGTAACTACATTGTATGGGTAACTATATTGTATGGGTAACTATATTGTATGGGTAACTATATTGTATGGGTAACTATATTGTATGGGTAACTATATTGTATGGGTAACTATATTGTATGGGTAACTATATTGTATGGTAAGCATCTCACTCGTTCAACATGGGAAGAAATGAATTCTTTTATATCTTCAGGCTCCTTTGTTTCTACTATCGGTTATGCTGCAAGAAATTCTTGTACAGTTAAATGAATGAATGAAACAAACTTGAGTTTGAATTTGAAAGAAGGAGACAGGTAAACAATGCAACAATCCTGATTCTTTCATTTGTTCATTCACCAGTTCGCCATCAAAAATCAGTTGGTCATTTTTTACACCATTGAAAGCCAACTGTTGGAGCTCCTTAATAACCTTTTGATAACACTCTTTGCTTTCATTTCGATCATGATGCTTATAGAAGTAAACTAACGCTGCCTGGTACAGTTCAGTCAGTGTAGTAGGTAACGGATTGTCATTGGCTGGATCACTTAGACAGTTTAACAAAGTTACACATACTACAAAACTATTGATGGGAATGTAGCACAAGTTCTTTATTTCTGATGATTTTATATGACTCCAAATCTTTGGTTTCAGGTCATCTTTTTAATGATTAGCACAGAATTGTTTGACATACTTTTCAATTTTATCTGAGGTAAATCCGATAATCTCAACTTTTCGCTCAAATTCAAGCCTTGAGTAAACATTGTTGGCTGCCGGTCTGCTTGTTACCAAAACTTTTGCTCCAGGTAACATGTGGCCAGACAAGATTTTAATAAAAAGAAACATTGCTGTCATGGAACTAGTAGGGTTATTGGGGAACATTCTTGACTGGTCCAGGAAATCATGAAATTTTGCAAGATTGCCACCAATTTCATCTAAACCATAAAAAATGAAAATAGCATTTTGTGGGCATTTCCATATTTCTTCAAAAGCACTTTCAAATTCGTCTTCGCTTAGTTCTGTTCCAAACTGAAGAAATTTCTTAAGTGTTACATTTTGCAACTTTTCACAATGAAACCATCTAAATTTGAAGAGAAAGGCAATCTTACCATATGATAAAATGCATCAATTCGGTTTGCCCAATCTCGCATAATTTTTCTGGTCAAAACAGTTTTTCCAATTCCCGGTCGTCCGAGTGCCAAGATGGTATGTGGGGAATTGCCCTTGGTATCCTTGTTGGGATAAAATAAATCTTTTATCTCTTTCAGATGTATTGAGTATATAGAAACTTTCATATAAACATAATAAATTTCATGCCTCTTCATGCTTTTGGGAAATTTGTGTGGTGCTCGTTCAGTTTGAATAACAACATCAATAAACATGTCATCCAAACTTGTGTTTGGTCCATAATTTATGTCAGGTGTAAGAGAAGCATTTTTTACTTTTTCCTTGTAAATGTTGGTGCTGCTTAATACGCCAGTGAACTTGTCATCCTCAGAAGGAATGCATTCCTTTCGAAGAAAATACTCAGTAATAAATTGTGAATCACATCACCAAACTACATTAGATCGAGTGTTGAAACAAGGAAATTGGTACCCTATATAAAGATAAACCACTTCTGCCAGTGTAATTATGCCAAAAATGACATTACATACAGACACAAATGTTCCCCAAAACTGTTTGTTTCAGATTTATCACTTCCGGTTGAGTATCTTTCTGTTTCATCAATGCGATTGCCAACAGCAAGCGAATAAATAACACTGACAACAACTACAGAAACAAAACCCAACGGAATGAAAGCAGAGAATCTCACGGGAGAGTTGTAAGCGTCGTCGTAGATTGAGATACACGTTTTCTCCACGTATGTCTTGTGCGTTGCAAATTTTGTGTCCACAGCACAACTGAACTTTTCCGTCTCGCCGAGTCTCAAAGCTGTTGTAATTGCTGTCAATATAACTTCACAGTGGAAATGAATAATCACACATACGTAGGCTAAGATACTAAATCTATTGGGAGATACATATTCATTTAATGTATCTATCATTGTGTCTTGATTCGTAACATCCACGAAATACTTAAAATCGTTTGCTAGTTCTGTTGGGCGTGCTTTTATTTTTCAGTCATCTTCTCAGAGCAGCCTCGTACCGAGGCGCAATTAACTAAAATAGGCACACTACAGTACTTTTATATAGATCAGTGGCTAAGATGAGCGAGCGCGCGGGGGTGCTTGGTTTCCTGCAACCTCCCCAAGCACCCCCGCGCGCTCGAGCCACTGATGTATATAAAAACACTGTAGTGTGCCCATTTTTAGCGCCTGGGTACGAGCAGAGATTATGTAAGTATCTGGTATATACTTCATCTGTGGTACGAGGCTGTTCTCAGAGTCACACGAGAATGGTTTCAAATTTCGAACATTTCATCACTGAGCTGTAGTTCATGCGCAATACTTGATGTAGCATTAATAAAGTGGTTTCCTTTCAGGAGAGTAAATTTAAAATTGGTAAAAATAAATTTCGTCGTATAGATGTACGGAAAGATTCTTCAGTAAAAATTACAAGATTTCAAGCAACTTGAAATATGTATAGGTTATTTTGAGGCAACGAGGGGATATGTGATTTATTCACCGAGGCGCGTAGCGCCGAGGTGAATAAACACATATCCCCGAGGTGCCTCAAAATAACGTACTTATTTTTCACACTGCGAGGTCGCATTGAGTAAGAATAGAAATAATTCTTAATGTCATATTGACTTCGTTATGTTGTTTTTTTCTCATTTTTTTGTGCTGCAGAGACATTGCAGGTGAATATTAGAGGGATTATTAATTGCAGGTGAATATTAGAGGGGATTATTAAACGGAAATTGATTAGAGGGGAATATTGAATATATTCCCCGATAAGAACAAAGGAAACCGAGCTGGGTGAAAAATAAAGCTTGTTTGTCGCCTTCTCTTAACCTGCATAGCACAGAATATAGATCCTTATTCTGTGCTGCATAGCTAATTTGCCTGCTCGAGCCACTATGTTGGCAGTCTTGTCTTACTTGGAGGGTCGACGTTGTATGTGCGAAGGTAAGACCCTGGGTACAAGGCTGCGTTTTACACACCTCTCAATGTAAGAAATATTTTATGAAAAGCGATGGGTGAGTTTTCTCGTCAACACAGGGAGCCGTGGTACAGGGAGTTCCGATATGATTTCCGACACATAATTTGTAGTGGTGTGTAACGCAGCTGTAGCAATAATTTTTCAACCATAGGCTACAAAAGGCATGACCGTGATATGTTGACAACCTAATCTGCAACACTCTCCCTCCGACCAATATTTCGCAAAGTTTCAGCCATTGACATCATCTCGGATCTACATGTGGAAATTCCAAATTTGTACCATCATGATTTGTCATTAATATTCAGCATTACAATGAACGAAACGCTGTGATTCTGTTTAAACTAAAACCTTTCAACTTTTCTGTTATCAGAAATTAGCGACAAAATGGACGCACTTGGTTACTGATTCAGTTCAATCAGTTGCATAAGACCCAAATACTGTACAATGTACAATGTACAATGCAATTTCAGAGAAAACAAAGGGAAGACCGCACCTGAAACGTGCGCGTATTAACTGCTTGTACTCGAAATATTGTAAACGGTATTGTCTTCAGAAAGTCCTAACAAAAATTGTAAAAAAATACGATGGTGTAAAACTTCTCCTTGTCACAAGGAATCGTTGAAATTCCTATACAGACCGTTAGCCGTTTCCTTATAGTTTCCTTATAGCCGTTTCCCTATAGTTTCTCCGCCGTGCTTGACGTATGCTGTGTTTCTCTAGTACTGTGTATTAATTTGTTTCGTGCGATGGGAGTTGATATCTCGATTTCCGATATCGATATCGATATTGCACACAGAACTCCTATACGCAGTACTACATGAATGGCCGCCAAAGTCAAACTAATCCAATAGTATGTAAGTTTGTTAGGTGGCTGGCACGAGATAAAGTGTTGGCCGCAAGGAATAACTCAAGTCAATCAAGTATCAGTGAATGATCTGAAACTCCATCTACGGCAAAGTTGGATCGTATTTTAATTTTCAACCATTTAACACCAAGGCTCCAGGAGTTATTATATGAAGCTAAAAAACATCGAGCAACTCACGGATATAAGTTCTGTTGGGCGAAGGATTGGCCAATTTTTCTTCGCAAGACGGATACAAGACTTCGTCGATTTGCAGGGACGTGAATCTCATGTTGGTGATCGGTCAAATCGTTGAAGTTAAGTCTATGAGTGTGTTTCTTTGTTGTGTGTGTACATGTTAACAAATTTTATTTATATTCATTTTAACAAATTTTATTTCTAAACCAATATGAAAATATGGCTACAACGATCATGAGAAACAAGGCAGAAGAGCGTGTCCGTAAATCGTTGTTATGTGAATTGCCGTATTTTAATTATAGGGGAGATTTGGCCTTTTATCTTGGCCAAAATGCTTGTAACAATCAAATTAAATCGAAGAGAAATTTGGATAAATTAACCAGTTTATATGATCTAGACTTATTTAGTCTGAACACTAATTTAGATAATAATCTAAATTCTAATGTATATGCAATAAATCGACCCATATTAAGTCGGTATTTCTAAAACGGATTAAATGATCAAGAAGTTTATAATAGTAGTCAGTTTTGATATTTCATAATAATGTCGTAAGCTTAAATCGAAATCTCGAAAATCTTCAGACTCATTCATTAGATGAACTTGATTTTCATTTTAATATTATTGTACCCTGGCCCAGAGGTTTTTTTAGGTTTGGCGAACGCGAAATGCGAGAAAACGCGCGAAGAAAAAGGAAAAACCTCTGGTGAATTTGTTAGCGATTCCTGGTTCGAATAAAGAATGCAAAAAATGTATAATGGCTTAATGCATCATATTCTAAAAATATTATCCAATCATTATCCTTGACGCCAGGCCGTCTATATAGGGTTTTATCTATGGTTTTATGGCATGTTTACTGTCCAGTGTATGCCTACACATTTGTAGCAATATTCATTGTCCTGAATTTCATTCAATTTAAAACATCACATCTATTCAATTTAATATAAATATATATTTATATTCATTCACTTTAATCTTGCAATATACATTCAATTTATTAAATCCTGCAATATACATTCAAAAAAATCTGTATTTTATAAATTTATTAAACACACCTCTTTGGGCCGACGTGAACTTTGTTAATACAAAAGCAAGCAAATTTGTCTTGTAGATTTAAAATGAAACCATTCCTCTCCATTTCACATTTCGAATAATAGACTCGGGATTACAAAATACGAATGTAAACTCTCCATTTAGTATTGCTTTCTTGTCCTCTTCGTTTGACAGTGAAGTTGTTTCGCATCTACGCCAACCGGGGAGACGCTACTTTGTTTGAAGCAAATCACATTGAAATACCCAAATCTGTTTTCTCTTTCTGCACTAATACTTCATTTTGTAAATAGTCAACTATATAAATCAAGCAAAATTACAGCTATTACAACAACTCAGATATACTGACAATTGAAGGTTGCAGCAAGACTGACTTACAATTCGTGAGGCATAATCTGAGTATCCTTGCCTTTTCCTAAGTTATTATTTTTAAGTTTTTGTTCACTGTATTTAACATAACAAGTTCGCTTTTTTAGTTTCTTTCTTTCCAATTCCGCGAAGCTTCCTCGCCGTTTCACTTCCTCCGTCCCACTCCCCTCTCAACACCGGCGATCGCAATATCTTAACACTCTCCCCCAGTGCGGAAATTAAATCTCTAATTGAGCAACGTCTAACACAATATACTGAAAATACTTTAGGAATGCAAAGAATCCATTGTCACTACAATCATTCTGTTCTAGTTATACTAGTCTGCATCATGTTCTTCTCTGGTGGCTATAGGACACAGCTTGTGGATGGGTCTGTCATATTCTCCTGTTTGCGTCTTCATTCTTACTTTTCTCACAAGGCCGTCGCTTCCGGGATGAACTTCGGTGATAAGTGCCATCTTCCATTGGCATCTTTTATGTTTTGGATCAAGCTCCAGAACCAGGTCCCCTACTTGAACGTTGTCTCTTTTTCGAAACCACTTGTTGCGGGGTAATAGATTGGGTGCAAAATACTTCAACCAGCATTTCCAGAAATCGACGATTCTGTTTTGTGTGCATCGTAAAAGATCTCTTGGGTTGATTCTATCTTCCGGGGTTGGCTGAGGTGGTGAATTATGCTGCCCAAGAAGGATATCATTCGGGGTTACTGGTGGACTCTCCCAAACGCCATCCGAACTGGGATACAAAGGGCGACTATTGATCACGTAGCTGATTTCTGCGAGGAATGTTGACCACTGTTCTGCCGTAAACGCTTGACTCTTGCAGGTAACATTGAAGGCTTGTCGGACGGACTTAATAAGAGACTCGACGACACCGTTCTGATGACTGGCATGAGGCACATTCCAC